AAAAAGAAAATGATGGTATCACACTGATAGCTCCAATTCCAGTTCAACCACCATGGGGTTCGTTCTCATTTCCTTCCTTTCCATATTTGTAATTCCCTTCTCCAACTGGCTTCATTCTCATTAATATATTTACTTGTTTAATCAGTTCTCCTGTATGTGACCAGTTTCCTATGGCTGCCACCCCTCATGCATCATGGATGCTCCCCTCACCTCACTTGGGGTCTGGTACCCCATACCAGGTCCCCCGTACAGGCTTACCCTCTTCATTGTGCTCAAGCTGATGACATGCTGTGCCATCACTCTTGCAGCTCCTCTGCAAGGATGTCCTCTTCACCCTGCTTGGGCGCCAACACCCTACTCTAGGCTATCTTATTTGCTCCTACCTAATGACATTTGGACTGAACGGCTGAGAAGAGGTCCGAAGAAAGGCTCTAATATCTTTTTTAAAAACTATTTTTTTAATAGAGATGGGGCCTCCCTATGTCGCCCAGGTTGGTCTTGAACTCCTGGGCTTGAAGGTCCTCCTGCCTCAGCCTCCCAAAGTTCTGGGATTATGAGTGTGAGCTACCGTGCCTGCCCTAACTCTTTTTTTGAGACGGAGTCTCATTCTCGTCGCCCAGCCTAGAGTGCAGTGGCACAATCTCAGCCCACTGCAACCTCTGCCTCCTGGGTTCAAGTGATTCTCCTGCCTCAGCCTCCCGAATAGCTGGGATTACAGGCACCTGCCACCATGCCTGGCCAATTTTTGTATTTTTAGTAAAGGTGGGGTTTCACCACATTGGCCAGGCTGGTCTTGAACTCCTGACTTCAGGTGGTCCATCTGCCTCGGTCTTCCAAAGTGCTGGGGTTACAGGCATGAGCCACCACGCCCAGCCCTAACTTTTAAAATATATATATAAACTTGTTGTCAAGCTTACACCTAGCAACTTCTTTTCTCTAGATTAAATAAACTCAGTTAAAATGGTGAAACCCCATCTTTACTAAAAATACAAAAAATTAGCCAGGCGTGGTGGTACACACCTGTAATCCCAGCTACCTGGGAGGCTAAAGCAGGAGAATTGCTTGAACCCAGAAGGCGGAGGTTGCAGTGAGCTGAGATTGTACCACTGTGCTCCAGCCTGGGTGACAGAGCGAGACAGTCTCCAAAAAAAAAAGATTCTTGGCTGGCGGGGCATGGTGGTTCACACCTGTAACCCTTTGTAATCTTTGCATTTTGGGAGGCCAAGGCAAGAGGATTGCTTGAGGCCAAGACTTTGAGACCAGCCTGGGCAGTGTAGTGAGTCCCCATCTCTACAAAAACCAAAAAATTAGCTGGGCGTGGTGTTGTGCACTGGTAGTTCAGCTACTCAGGAGACTGAGGCGGGAGGACTGCTTCAACCCAGGAAGTCGAGGCTGCAGTGAGCTGTGGTCATACCACTGCACTCCAGCCTGGTTGACTTTGGTTTGCCTAGGTGTCCTTATATAGACAAACTCCCCTGCCATTACCTTCTTTCTTACTCATTAACTCCTGCTGTTGACCAGTCCCTTTAACTTGTTCACTTGATTCTGTTCCTTCTATTTCTTCAAGGAACTGCCTTATCACTTGCCTTTCTCCCTCATTTCCTGAGCCTTTTCTCAACTTCACTTTTCCCTTAAGTTATAAACATATTCAAGATTCTTCCATCTTAAAATGAAAAATAGGCCGAGTGAGGTGGCTCACACCTGTAATCCCAGCACTTTGGGGGGCCGAGGCGGGTAGTTCACTTGAGGCCAGGAGTTTGAGACCAGCCCGGCCAACATGGTGAAACCCCATCTCTACTAAAACTACAAAAATTAGTGGGGTTTGGTGGTACACGCCTGTAATCCTAGCTATTTGGGAGGCTCAGACACGAGAATCGCTTGCACCTGGGAATTGGAGGTTGCGGTGAGCAGAGATTGTGCCATTGTGCTCCAGCCTGGGCAATAGAGCGAGATTCTGACTCAAAAAAAAACAAAAATTAGCCAGGTGTATTGGTGCATGCCTGTAGTCCCAGCTGCTCAGGAGGCTGAGGCAGGAGAGTGGCTTGAACCCAGGAGGCAGAGGCTGCAGTGAGCTGAGATCTCGTCACTGCACTCCAACCTGAGTGACAGAGTGAGACTCTGTCTCAAAA